ACTTACTGGCTGACAATTGCTGTTCAGGATGCAACTGGAATCAAGATTCGATTGGAATAGCACGAGCTGCTCCTGTTGAGGTTCTCTGCAGCACTGAGCATGTTCTGAACTGCTAGCCTCCTCCTCCCTGGTTAACCAGTTACTTGGAGACAGATAGGTGACAGCAGTGAGGTTGAAAAGCACCATCCCTGTTTGCTTATCTTGACTTAGTAAGCTGCAAAAGGTTCTTGCACTTCTCAACCACTGGGCTGACAGAAGTGGTGACAGGCTGCAGGGAAGAGGGACCTGCCCAGGGACAGATTCTAACCTCTGCAAGTGCTTGTGCTTCATTGCACAGTAAAATTTATTGATCTAGCAGACTGGTTACAGCATTGGCTCACAGGCCAGTTCCAACACGTGTGGTGCCTTTCCTGCAGTTATTCTTTGTGCTCTCTAACAACGATTAAGTCGGTTCAGCCTGACAAACAGTAAATGCAAGTGACTTAACTGTCATTGTTTTGTAAGTGAAGTGCACACAAATTGGGGGAGCCACTTTATGCCACTCCTAAATACGATGGTAGTACTAGACACAAAGGGTCCGAAAGGTTTGGTTTAGACCATGTATGCCCTAAGCAGGAGAGTAGATGCTCTGGGTCATGTAGGTACTGGGAAATTACTGGGCTGACCTGTTCTGTTTGTCCTCTGAAATTTGTTGATGACATTCTTTGTGGGCAGTGCCAATGCTATACGTTACATGAACCTGAGACACCTGATCCCCGTGTTGGAAAGTCGTTGTGTTCTTGTAATGATGCTGTTAGGGCGGTGGCCCTTCACTCTTCATGCATCGATAACAAATGGGCACATTGTGCAGGCAGGTGGTCAGCCAGAAGCGGTTTCCATGCAGATCTAGCATTGCATCACAGTTCCAGCATAGCTGATCTCTTCCAACGTCTCGTGCTGGTTTTGCTAGGAGGAAAGCCCCTTCAGAACATTTCCTGTCAAGGCAGATGGAGCTTGATTGCTCCTGGATGTTGTCTTAGTCTAGAGAAACAGATATCTACTTTTATGCCTTTCTATATGGTTTTTTTTTTTCCTTTTTTCTCTGTTCCCAGAGCTATCTCCAAGATGGGGAAAGATAAACTCACCCTCATTCAGGTTGCTTCTTTCACACTTTTTTAAGTACCTGATGGATTTGTGTAGTCTCGGTTCTAGCACCCAAGGCTGTGGGCTGACTAATGGAAAAGGATAGCTGACGCTCCAGGGATGTTCCTGTTACCCGGATGAAAATAACAGAGTGCAATGGAGCAAATGGAAGAGTCATTAGATAAAATTGTTCCAATTTTATGGTCATCCTGTATATATATAGCTGCAGAACCATGGTATTAAAGTTTAACTGAGGGTGTATTACATACCACCTGTATTTACTGTTCAAAACCTCTCCCTGCCTAGGACTGTAATAATGGAGTAACTGAGAGTAGGCTTGTGCTTCAAGCCCGACAGATCTGAGCTACGCAACTTCAATTTTTGCTCCTGTGGTGGTGTCATAACTGGATCATCTAAAGGTCAAGCTGTTTCCTCAGGGGGTATCAAAATGGATATTGTATCTTACTGGGTTACTAAACCTGCTTGCAAACATCTCCTATCAAATGTGGAAAGTGACTCTTAAGGTGGCCCAAACAACTTCCATCATCCTAATTCAATTGCATGCTAATATCTGAGGTCACGGGGCAGGGCGTGTTGGGCTCGTGAAGGTGTGAAGCAGCGTCCTCTGCTTGACATCGTGTCTGAGGCAGATCGCACGTTCGGGAGAGCAGTACTACAGACTGATAAAGCCTAGAGGTCTTTATTCCCTCTTTTTCAAACAAAACTTGCCACCATTAGCCTGTGCTGGGATCCACACTGACGTGCCAAGAAAAGATGGCTGGTGGCTGCCTCAGCAAGCAAATTTTCAAAATAATACAGATCCCGTAATCTGTCTTGTCATTAGCCCTGACTTTTCAGAGCCCTTAAGAGGTTAATCTACAGAGAAACTGCAAAAGCTTTGTGTTTGCTGTTGGTTGTATCTTGGATAGACACACTCTTGTGTCATAGATGGGTGGCTTTTGTACATGTTAACTGAGACTGCCTTAGAGCTGCTCTTGCTTTCATTAAAATAATTATTATTTCAGCTCTGGTTTCCCCCAAGCAGGGAGCAACAAAAAAATTAGAAAGGTTTTGTAAATGGACAGTGAGCAGCTGAAGACTTTGGGAAAAGATATTCTGTTAGGGGGATAGGGAAGATTGATATCCTTTATAAGAAGATAGCTAACAGGTACAGAGTAATAAATGGGTAAGAAGATGGATGGGGACTTCTGTTCCCACCTGCTAATAATACCTAAGTCAGATGAGAAGGTGATGAATTCACTCCTGATGAAAGGAACTGTTTGTTCACAACCAGAGTCTGTGAAGCTCATTGCTGTATGACAAAGTGTTGGGGCAAGAACTCACAAACTTAAAAAAAGGAGGAGGGAGTCAGAAGATACCAGTTGGAATATCCAGAGCAATGGCAATGTTTAAAACCTAGATGCTTTGAAAAGGCTCTAAGTATATTGATTAGGGCCTTATAAGGGTATGAACTAACTTGTCCAAATTTTTTTTTTTTCCAGGGTTTTGGTTTTTTTTTCTTTTGCCCCTCTCTAGGGCTTTTTCCATAGTCACCTATAGTGGAGTTTTTGTGTTACTACTTGTCACTGTCACTCAGAGACTGTAAGAGAGGGTGGCTGCTGCAATCAAATGTGGTAATGCCTGCTTGCAAGCCACCTTTTTTGTGTCAGTATTTCCAAGATTGCTAAATTCACGCATAAATTAGGATGCTTTTGCTTTTGCTTTTCCACTAAGTTACTGCCTTTGATAGTCCTTCACAACTTGTCTTAGATCTAGAATGATGCTTTGCCTTTTGAGTATGTGCTGGGGGAGAGGCGGGTGGTTAAAGTTAGATTCCTTCTGACAGTAGGGATTTAGAAATTGCTGCATTGGCTCAGCCCCGGGATCTGCCTAGTCCAGGGCTCTGGATAGCAACAGCCAAAATCGAATTTTTCAAAGGACAGCATGAGGCCACAGGACAGATTACTAAAACAGAAAGCTGCCCTTTTATATCGCTGGTGTTTGTCCATAGAATTGGAAAAGCAAAGGTTGAGAGTTTGTTTGATCCAAGAGCACAAAAGCTGGAAAATCCCGTCGCCTGGCTGATGCTTGTTAACGCTGATGTTTTGTATCCTCCAGGAAATTACTTATGTGCCTGTTTTCTCTTAGGAAAAACAGAGATGGGCTTACCTTAAATGGCAAGTTTTTATGGTGGCTTTAAGTTGGTGTAAAAATAAGTAATACTTGTGTATAGTCTCACAGTCCTAATTGTTTAGAGGCCGCGCACAGTGGGGTTCTCATTTGGAAAACAACTGCGGGCTGGGCTGGGAGGAGGCAGCAGCAGTGGTCACAGAGGGGTTTTGGCATGTGGAAAATGGGTGTCTTTTTCTGACACTATTGCAAGCTATCTGGCTGGTGGACTGGGGGGCTGTCTGTTCTGTTGGTTTGGGTTTGATTTTTTTTAAAATATTTTTTTTCTGCTGTTGCAAATTAGACATATGTGGTTTCTCTCTGTTCTGAAGTCTTGAAATTATTGCTAAAACTGCTACTAAAAAAGAGATTCAGTGAACTCCCTATGGGGAAAAAAGTATATTCCTTCCCTCGTCAAATACTTTCATGTGTTGAACTCCAAAAGCCAAAGAGGCCAAAAGCAAGTGGAGTTGCTCCTCTGTCAGATACCCATGAAGCTGCTGTGGGACATGTGGGAGTGGCGGTGGTGTCCCAGTCCCCTGTGGACAGACGAGGACAGCTGCCGATTAAACAGAAGCACACAAAAAAAAGAGGTTGCTGAACTTTCAAAGTGGAGGTAGAAAAGGGAGTTAAATTTAGATTACCTTCTGCAGTGTCATCTCCTGCACCGCTGTGGAACTTGCTGTACCTCTTACTTGGGAGAGGACAAGCAAGACGTGCCATCTTGGACACCCGATGATAAATTTGTTTATAAGGCTTAATTGCCCCTTGGCATGAGAACGTGAAATGAGCTGAAGTAGAATGAGGAACCTTCTGTTGGGGCTAGTCATGTTTTCCTTGGGGAGAGGTGGATTACAATGTGTTCCCATCACCTGTCTGACACTGCAGAGACCCAGTCCTGATGCCAGTGAAATCAGAGGAGTTGTCGCCGTTTCTTTGGTGGCATGGCTGTTGTCTGGAGGGCTGGGACTTGAACAGTGCTGTAAGAGGTGCTCAGGAAAAACGGAGCTGTGGTGGGAGGCAGAAGATGGGAGTGCGTTGGATCTGTGAAGGCTTTACCCGGGTCCCCCAGGTCTGGAGGTGCTTGGAGAAACCATAGTGCTTGCTCCAAGGGCTCCAGTGCTGTTCAGCCAGAAGCACCAAGCTTCACTTTCTCCTCAAAAATAGAGTAACTGTCTATTTCTGCTTAGTGTGATTTAATCATCGCGGAGGAGCTCTTGCCAAGGTTTTGAACAGCTTCCCCTCCGCTTGCAGCATCCACTCCTCAGGGAGGAGAACGCTTCTGCTCCGCCACTGCTCCCAGCCAGGGCCCCGCACAGGCAGCGCTGCCCCACGGCATGAGGCAGCTCCCGTTTGCAGCGAGCTGCCTGGTGTTACCCAGCAGCTGTCTTAGGGTTCAGGGCTTTTTTTTTTTTTGTTTTCGTTTTTTTTTCTTTTCGGAACTCGACCTGATGTCATTTCCCTCTTGCAAACACCCTGGCTGGGCTGCGTCTGAGATATGTCACGGGCAGTGGGAGGAGGAGGAGGGGGAGCCAGCGAGTGCGTGCGGTGTCCCAGGACCCTGTTTACTTTGCATTCCCAGCCGAGGAAGCCCTGGTTTAAATAGGATCAGAGGAGAGGGCAGCCCACACAGCACATGAGGACATGGGTGCGGTGGGGTTTTAAATTCCTGGCTTCCCATGTGTTGGTGCTGAGGATGAGCCTGCAGAATGCCTTTCCTCCTGGGTCTCAGACAGGTAAACCGGCTTCGGTGTGGTGGGAACTGCTCGTTCAGGTGGAGGATGTGACTGATTGCTTTCATTGTTAATATCCTTCCCCCCTCGCCCCCCGTAGGAAATGTTTTCTGACTTTCCCAAAATGGAACTGAACAAACAACACTTTCCCACCCATGGTGTTAGATCGGGGAGCGCGGTAACGTGAGAGACGCTTTTTATGAGCGAGGAAGGAGCAAAACTGCAAGCTACGGAAAGAAACTCTTGTTGTTGTAGGCTTTGTGGCAGGGCGGCTCTTTGTGTTGTGCTCCTCTGCAGTTAACTTGTTTGGTTGGATTTTAGGGTACTTTCCACAGTCCTTAATATGGAATTATGTTTACATTGCATAAAAACATGCCGAATTTTGAACTGTTTTCTTGTGCAGGCAATGTTTTGAGTGTTTTTAAAACAAAACAGAGACATATATGTGTACGTATCATCTCTGACAAAGGTCACCAACCAGAAAATGGCAGCATGCTGTGACCCCCAGCTTGGTGACTTTTTAATTGTTCTGTGAGAGTTTGAGCTTGTACGAGAAACTTGGGATCATATAATAGCTGGTAATGTCGAGTGGAATGAGGAACGGTAGCAACTGCCCAGCTGCTCCCCGCTGGAGTAGGTGCCAACTATGTGTTCCTAGGCTCAGGGAGAGCAAACCCTTTTTTTGGTCTGGGAGGCACGTCTGTAGGGGAATCAACTGTAAACTCTTCCCAGCACTGCTGGGATCTGTAATCCACAATAAATAGATATTGCGTGATATCAGAGTGCTGCTTGCAGTTTCTAATTTAGAATTAAAAAGTCAGGACTGGACCGTAGCATGTTTTAAACTACCTACTTGTGGTTGTTTGGGACTTCAGCACGCTGCTGAGTAAACAGTGCTGGCCCTTTTTCCTTATCAGTTCAGCTTTTGGTGAAATGCAGCTCTACCCCCCCACCCCCCCATCATGCTGAACTGAAAACAGTTTTACATAAGAAACTACCTCTAGCACAATGACCTTCTGTAATCGAATGCAGCAGCTTTAGTAATAGTTCACTTGTTAGCACACAAGGCAAAGAGACTTTCCCTAAAAATCTCGGAACTGAACCAAAGAGGGAAATGCGATCATGAAGGCTGAGTGGCTTTAGGTAGCTCTCGCTGTGCAGTGAGACTTTTAAGGTGGCTTAAATGTTGAGATTGCTCGAGCCTCATGGGTGTGTTCTTCTCTGAAGTTCCTATTTCTAATTTAGTCTTTTTGTTTGATGTGATGGTTTAAACGTAGATGGTTTAGAATTGAGGTGCTGTGTAAGATGTAAAACCAGAAATAAGGTGTAATTTAGCTTCATTTGCCCAAACTGAGAACAGCTGGTTATCTCACTGGGCTGGATGGTACTTTTTTCTCTGCTTGTAACTTTTCAGCATCGATACAGAGGCATTTACAGGAAGCAGAAAAAAGGTGTTGCCTCAAGAACAGAAGAGCAAAGCTTTTGGCTATTTTTATCCAGCGATAAAGGTTATAGTGGGAAAGAGCTGCTTGAACTCTTCTTAGTTAAGAAGACTTAATAAATCTAAACATTTGTGATCGTGAACTGCATGAAGATAGTATTCAGAAATTTCTTCTTCCGCTTCTGGAAGAGCAGGTGGGCAAGGGAAAGTATTGTTAGTGAACAGTGTTATTTCATTAAAAGTGGGGGAGAAATTCAGGAACATCTCATCACCTCTATTGTCTCTCCTGTCTGCACTTGGACTGTAAATGCTTTGGTTGTCTGGGGCGTCCTTTGCTGCCGCTGTTCCCACTCAACACAGCGGGTGCTGACCCTGGGCTGTGCCTCACCGGCACAGGAAAGAGGTGCGGAGGGAAGGGATGCCAAGCGGGGTACCCTCCTGTGAGCTGCCTCATGGGGATGAAGCGGTCGCAGGACAGGCACCCCTTGCTCACGGCAGCGCTGCCCTCACCAACCGGATCCCCTGGATCGGCCTTCACTTCTTCTTTGGGACCCAGTGGCTTTGCAGTGTGGCAGACGGACTGCTGAACCCATGGGAAAAATAAGGCATTTGGAGTGGTTGTTGTTGTTGCAGTGGGGATGACATTTAAATGCCTAAAAAGCTGGGTCAGCTCCGTGTGACATCAGTGTGCCGTGGGTGTTTAAAGTTCCTGTCCTAGGAAACATGACTGTGGAGGATCTCAGCTTTCAGTGTTAAGTGAGCATTTCCTCTTGGGGTTGCAGGTGGAAGAGCTTGAGCGTGTTTGTCCAGTTCACAGCAGAAATGTAAAAAAAAGGTGTGAGGAGGAAAGGTTAAACTATTGGATTCCGAACCTTTTCTGTTTAAATTTTAACTGCTTGAGGTTTTCAATATTGTCAGCTGTTTGGTGGTTTAAAATAACAAAATGCGACAGCCTCCTCAAAGCTGTGATTTCCTAGAACCATCTCTCTTTAAGGGGAAAGGGCTGAGACTACATCTGGGAAGCTTCTAGTAAGGCGTGAAGGAAATAAAACACTTTCACGTGGCGCTTAAAATGGGAATGTGCAGTTTTTGGAGTGTGAAAGTGAAACTTGTAATAAACAAAAATGAAACCAGCTCCAAGTGATACTTATCAAAGCGTCCACAGTCTGTGAAAGGGCCGTGTTCCTTTAAAGGTTCTTAGGGTATTTCTCTGAGACGAATGAATGCAACAAACCAATTTGTTCCTCGGATAAAGGTTAATAAAACCTTGGAGGTTCTGCATCCGCTGGGGCTGAAGATAGGTCTGCCGTGGCTGATTAATCATGGTGATTTAAATATAATTCTCCTGATGCTGGCATTAGTGAAGCAATAAATGTTGTGAATTAGAATTACCATTTTGGAGATCTTTATTGAGCCTGGGACAGCTCGGAGGCATCATTCCGACCCCACTTATTAGACTTTAAGTATTTGGATGTTTGCGCTTAATGCATTTTTTTCCCCCTCCACATTCAGCAAAACAAAATTTGTGGTGGGTGTCTTATGAAGAAATGTCCAGACTTGATTTTCTTGGCTTCAGTTGTCTGTCGTAAGGCAGGCTTACAGGAATTTATCCCCTGTCGTGCTGGCAGGGGCTGGCACCCGAGGTTCCAGTAACTCCCAGCAATCAAAGCCAGTTTCAACTTGACCAAGCTTATGTGCTTTTGTTAAATTGAACCCACCGAAGGCACAGCACCTAGATGGGGGATTTTTACTTTGATGTTCCAAAGGACTAACTAGGAGAGTGTTTATGAAGACAGGAGGTGACCAGAGGCTTGGGTGCGTGCTCAGCTGGGAGGGTGTCAGTCCCAAGCCAGGTGATCAGCACCTGGCAAACCAGGAGTTGTTGTAAACTGTGGCAAGATTTGGCATTCCAGCCTAATATTTTCAGTAGCAATTTTAACTTAGTACCAGCTGAGCACCTCTGTCAGATAAGAGACTCATCTCATTTGATGGGTTTGAGTTTGCATTCTCATGAGCTACTGCTGATGGGCTTGGCTAACCAACAGAGGCGATAGTTTGATATGCGACTTGGAGTAAAACCAAGTGGGTATCAAATACAATTTTTCCTGTTGGTTGTTTCTAACATATTTAAGATATTGACAGTCACTTCCATTGTGTTACCCTGCGTGCTTAAAGAATATGTGTGGTTCAAATACTGATTGCAAGTTGCTCAAAATACAATCTTGACAAATATGTATTAAAAATGTATTGCTTAAATCCATCCCACTCTGTTGGTACGTGTACAGCTGGATGCTGAGAGCAAGAGACTGCTGCCTGCGAGTCATGAGATTAGAGAAATAACTAGGTCAAGATTTATGTTTGTTTTTTTAATTATTAAATAGATGCTTATTACCAAAGTCCTCTGTAAGAGCCATGAAGCCAGAAGGTCTGGAGCAGTCACAGGTTGAGCCTGAATCCTGTTAAAACCAGTAGCATCTTGCCCTCCAGCAGATGCCAGTTTGGAAGTCTCTCTTTAGCCTGCTGCTGGGCTTTTCACTGTGTTCCACTGTTTGTAAGCCTGTTATTCAGTTCCTTACCCATCCCTGACATTCTGTTATTAATCCCTATCTCTTCTCATTCAAATAGCAAATTGCTGTGTAGTGCCTTTACACATGCTGTACCGAAGTTTGGAGAGAATGGGAAATTAGAGAGGTCAAAAAAACAGGCTGTCCTGGAAGACAGGAATGGCACATAACCTGCTGTGAGAAAATGCAAGTCACATTTCAAAGTGTTTTCTAGAGTGTCTCAGTATTACCAAGGTTAAGATGAATAGATACTCTGGTGGGTTGAATGACAGGTAGGGACCATATAAATGCAAGATGCTCATATTTAGGATAACGGAGGTCAGATTTCTGTGGAAGGAGGAGGCAGAGCAAAAAGCTAAAATGGTTATTAGATCTCTGTGATATCAGCCACTGCTGGTTCTGGTTACCTCGTTAATGCCAGCTGAGGAGTCATCTTTTGTAGGTGGTTCACTGCCAGCTATGCACTTCTGAGCGTGGGCTATGGCGTTTGTTGCTGTAGTTGCACATATTAATTTTCAGCTTGGAAAATAGCCCCGCTGCTCTGGAATTTGCTCATCTTCATCTTTCTCCTTTTTTGACATAGCAGCAATGCTCCTGGGTCAATCACTGGCTTTTGAGAATAGATGAGTGTGAAGTGCCTCAGTCCCTTTGCTGTAGCGGTACTCCATGGTCAATCAGTTCTCATTTCCCTTTGTTGGCTTCAGAAGCAATAAATCCCAACAGATTCACAAGTATTAAACCCAACCATTTAATACTGAAAACCTTTACAAGAGTGGGATAAGGAGGACTGATTACATCCTTTCTTGCAGCCAGGGGAAGTTCAGACAACCTACAGGCCTCCATGAATGCCTCCTGTCTTGATCACGCCTCAGATTTTGACCTTTAATTTGTCACGTAGGCCTCCAGTGAAGGTCCAATACTGAAGTGGAAGGTTGAGAAAATGATTGGCGCTTTTCCCTGGCACTGACATTAGTGTTCGCTGTAGCTTCAGATGTGATAACATATGGTGCTGCCTTGAGTTCTCTTATACCTACCACTGCTGGATATTTTAAGGATTATTTGTAAAAGCATTTGACAGCAGAAGTGTGCTACTGGCAGAGTTGCCAGCATGGCTGTGGGTTTATCACAGATGTCAAATATCAACAAGAAAATAAGTTAAAAAATATCTTATTTTCACTCAGAGTTGCTCTATGAAGTTTGACAAGTGAAAACTAATTCAAAACATCGCATCTAAAATATGAAGAGACTTTCCAGTCACATCAAGGTGAGGTTTTCCCATATCAACCAATTTCTTGGGAAAGAGCCTGCACCATATTTAACAAATGACTTCTGTTGGACTGGATGGGGAGAGAACACGTAGTCCAGGACTGCTGAGCCTTCTCCTGAAAGCTCCCGGCTGTGGAGTGTGCGTCAGGGATCCCATGATTGCAGTTTCTCAGATCTGTGTCACCTGTTACGACGATGCCAAGGAGGCAGTGATGCACGTGCTGCTTTACAGGACAAAGCCAATCCCTGGAAATGAGCTGGACATCTCTTAAGGCTTTGAAGGTGGGAGATAACGGATGGCATGTTCAGGTTTCTTAGCTGTGAAACAGGAATATTCTGCTCTAATAGAGTTGAACGAAGCTCTTTGAGGGCAGACCCATGTAGATGTGACTTAGTAACCCTGTCTGGAGGCATCTCCAGTTGGCGGAACAAAGGCTGATGGGGAGGGATGTGCTTGCCTGGACAAAGAGAAAGCAAGAGAAAACAAGATTGTCCTTCGGCAGGGAAGCCTGCACTGGAATGTGATAGCCATTGGCGACTGCAGAAGAAAGTAGTTCTGTAATGAAACCACCCCTCTGCCAAACAAAACAACACCCTCCATAGTAGTTCAGTGAAAACTCTGTACTGCTAAGAATGATTAAAAATGGTCATTACAAGTGCTACTTGCAATTAAAACTAGAAAAAAAGGCAGGTCAATAAAATGTGAGTGCTCTAGCTTTGCGTCTATGAGATTTTTTTCTGCCCCATATATACTTCTCTTACCCATAAAAGTACTCTTTCAGTCCATGCCTGTTGATATGAAAGAGGAAATAATGTGCTTTCGAAGCACAAGCACTTGTGATAGTTTCCGGGAGGCATTTAGACTGTCGAATCATAGAATGTCAGGGGTTGAAAGGGTCCTCTAGAGATCATCTAGTCCAACCCCCGTCCCAGAGCAGGGTCCCCTAGGGCAGCCACACAGGAACGCATCCATAGGTCACTGTTGCTGGCGTGTCTGCAGTTTGGGAGCACTTGACACAAAGAATGGATGGGAGCAGGAAGTAGAAATAATAACAACACTGATGGTTTGGAAAGTGCAGGCTGGGATTTGCTTAGAAATTGAAGCCTGATTGAAGTGCTTGGTGGTAGGCAGAGGTTTCCTGACAAAACATGTGACGGTCTCTTTTGTGACATGTACCAGTGGCAGTGTCTAACCTCTTCCTTGGCTTGCAAAGCGGTGCAAGAAACTGCACAGTGGCCCAGCTTTTCATAGAAATGGGTCTTGGCTTAAGTGGGGAGAGGAAAGGAGATTGAAACACTCGATCCACGGGAGACACCTGTAACATATCCCAAAACAGTGCTCTCCTTGTGCTGGAATCTCTGCCTAGTGGACTTTTCCCAAAGATTTGTTGTTTTTTCCCTGTGCCAGGTTGAGTAACCTGGCATTGGAGGTAGCTGTGCTCTGAGCAGGGGTCGGGCTGTGTGACCCGCTGGGATCCTTTCCAGACTACATTATTCCTTGATTCTGCGAAACTGTTTGGAAACAAGAGTGATAAGTTTTAGGTCTGACACGTGGCACCAAGTCTGACGGGTCCATGTTCCCAGAAACCCGTTGGTGGCCGGCCTGGCAGAGGGCTGCAGAAGGGCCCCTAGAGAGAGTGCTTGGACTTTGAGGAGTGTGGCTGGTAGCCGACACTGCAAGGACTTTAAAACTCTTGACTTTCTGAACTGTGGGAGCTGAAAGCCAACTGCAAGGTTTTTCAAAGGTACAAATGCTTACACGTTGGCCAGGAAGAGAATTCTCTTGGTCAGTGTGTCGGGAAGCTCCAGGTAGTAGGATATGGACTCTTGCTTTAGGTGGGAGAGCAGGAGGTTGCTGGAGACTTCATCTCCATACACAGGCAGCAAAAACCTGCAGAATACTAACCTAGCTGCTGAGGATCTTCTGTTCAGTATGTACAACCATCCCCTCAATGGACCTGTTTGCCAGCTGGGCTAAGAAGCAGCAACCCTACACGTAAGCACATGGAACTGAGGAAAGGTCATTTCAAATATAATAAGGTTGGCAAGAGGGAGTCAGAAAGTTCAAATAGAAGGATTACGTGGTGAAAGTCTCTGAAAAGAGGGACTGCTGCAAATTCTTATGTGAGAAAAATATGGTGAAGCTGTAATAGGTTGCTGCTGCCAAAAGACACTGATGTGTTCTATTGCTGCTCTTTGAAGCAGACTACATCAAATGGAACGAATCTTGGGGGAGTAAACACAGGTGGTCAAGGACGGATCAGTTGTGATGCAGCAGAGCTCCTGAAATGTCATTGTGGGACTCTGCTCTTTCACCAGCTCCATATGATTCATTTGCGGGTTCAACAGGTCACATTGATTTTCATGTGTCACAACCGCAGACCTCAGATGGTCACTTTCTGGCTTGTACATCAGCAACAGGATTGCAATTTTGCAATGGGATCTTAATTTCTCAATTCTGTTGATATGAGAGCCAAAATCTATGCTGTTCTTCAGTTACATTAACTCTGCAAGGCCAACAAAAATTAGGAGAAGTGTAAATAAACTAATAAGAACAGATAAGAGAGTAAATGTGTCCTATTCCTTTTGCTGTCTAAAATTACAATTTCTGGAATGAGTAGTGTGCCTGAAGCAGAAATGCTGTGCAAGCTCAACAGCATCTCCTAAAAGTTGCTACTAGCTGCTGCAATTAGAGACAGAAATACCTCCAGACCGTATAGGACAATGCTGTGCCTGCTGTTGGCATGCAGCATCTCAAGATAAGAATATAAAATGCTTGCTTTAGTTACATGTAGTAAAGCAGTTGGACTGGTCTGTCGAGCAAAATGTTCTCTCCCTGGAAGGAGGAGGCAGGTACCCCCCAGCCTGTTGGCTCTGTGGGTGAGGTGTGAGGAGATGGGACTTTTTAGAGCCTTTTGTGGAAATCGTGATACCTGTGAAAGGCGGGGCGGCAGTGTATCACACGCCTAGTTGTGCCTTCGCACAATCCAAAACCCTTTCAGAAGCTGGTGTGATTTCTTAGGAGAAAAAAGCAGCGTGGGATCTCTTCTGCTG